GTTCTTGGGGGCTGGCCGCTGGGGGTTCCAGTGCGGGGGTGACGCTGCTCTCGCTCTCGGGGGGCCTCGGTGGTTCTGGGGGATGTCTTCTGGTGGCTGCATGTGGGCCCTCGGGTAGTTTTCTAGTGGCAGTCATGGGTTGCTGGTCCGGTTGCTTGGCCGTGCTGGGGCAGGTCCGGGATGGGCGCGGGGGGCTTGGGACTCGGGGGGCGTGCTGCTCCTTGGCTGTGGCTCTGGTGGGCAGGTTGCCGGGCCCTGGGCCGGTGTGTGCCCTGGTGCCCGGCTCTGGGCTGGGGGCCTCTGGTGCGCTGGTGGTCTGCGGTTCTCATGGGCTGGGGGCTAGGGTTGGCTGGGGGCGTGACATGGGGCTAGTGGGGATGGGGGTCGACCCAGCCTGGGTGTCCTTGTGTTATATGTTCTGATAGTGGTCTGCCACTTAGATCCTTGACTTGAACTGTGCCTGTGGTCTTCCATTTTCTCACAATGTTTCTCACAGTGGAGACTGAMAGCTGAAMTCTCTGAGAYAGCTTTCTGTATCCTTCCCCTAAACCATGAYGGTGAACAATCTTTTTGTTTTCAGCTCATTTGAAAGTTGTTTTGAGACTCCCATGCTGCGACTCTTCAGAGAAGATGCAAAGAGGAGAAAAACTTATTGCCCCCCCCTTAAATACCCTTTCTCATAGTTGGAGTCACATGTATGGAGGTCAAGGGTCACTGAACTTACCAAACCAAATTTGAGTTCCAATAATTAGTCCTAAAGGTTTTGAAATCAATAAAATGACAACARTGGCCAAATTTATGCACCTGCCTAATTTTGTTTAACCAATTATTGCACATTTTCTGTAAATCATATAAACTTCATTTCACTTCTCTAATATCACTGTGTTTGTCCCCCATATGATGTATTTAACTGATTTTTTCTATCAAAACAATCAAATATTTATAAAGATAAATCAGGAAAATTAACAAGGGTGTCCAAACTTTTGTGTCCCACTGTACCTCTAGCAGCTAAGGTATTTATTTTTCATACCAGAACCACCACTTTAACAGATCTAAGTTATCACTTTAAATAGAAGCTGTTTTTTATTTAAGTTTTTCTTAAAAAACAGTGCAAATTTTTGACACAACATATTTACTGTATATATGTAGCTTAAAGACATTCAGTCAAACTTTTTGTTGTTGTCAGTATTACAGATATTTCTTAATAAGCTCCAAATATTGACAATTGAAGATTGTTGTTTTTTCCAGGAGTTTAACCCCGAGGAGTTTTACCATCTTCTGGAGGCAGCGGAGGACCACGCCAAGGAGGGTCACCTGATGAAAACGGACATTCCTCGTTACATTGTCAGCCAGCTGGGACTCACCAGAGACCCGCTTGAAGGTGAGGGATGTACACGGTGTATAAAAAGTCTCTTATTTTGAAAATAATAATTAAAAAAAAAAGATCAAACTGAAGCAGACATCTGTTTGCTTTCAGACATGGTGAACCTGGACAGCTATGACAGCGAGGGACCGGTCACACCTGAGACAGATGACTCCACAGAAGTAAGAGCCAAAACAACGCTGATCAATTCTCCAGAGCAGCAGCTCTGAATCTAAATTTAAATTAGATTTGTACATGTAGGCTGGCGAACGAGGTAATACAATTGCAAGAGTTCCTTTTTTWAACTTTTTCAGCCAATTTAACATCAAAGACTTGGCACGCACACTGGAATCCATTTAATTTAGCTAATTCATGCTGACATTTAGCAAACAGGATTTCCCTTCGCAGAAACTTTGGGTTCTCCTTTCAGCATTAGGCAGGCTGCCAAGAGGTGGAGTGTGAAGCAGAATGTGCAGCACCCTAAAGTTACATTTTATTTATGTAAGGAACCAGCTCTTTTTCAGGTAAAGATGATGTTTTCTTCAACCTAAACCATTGTCCCATTGTCTTATCTGTAATTCTTAAAGGGTAAAATTCAAGCAATGAAACCACCGGGAGAGGCAGACTTTCAGACCATCAAGCTGATCAGTAATGGTGCATATGGGTGAGCAGAATGTTTCAATTTCTTACAGTGATGCTTTAATCCAACAGTAAGTCACACAGAAACAAATGTGCTTCAGTCAACAGAAGCAGAAAACTTGTACTATGTGTGTGTTCACGTGAATTAGTGCTGTGTACTTGGTGCGTCACTTGGAGACGCGCCAGCGGTTTGCCATGAAGAAGATCAACAAGCAGAACTTGAGCCTGAGGAACCAGATCCAGCAGGCCTTCGTGGAACGAGACATCCTCACCTTCGCCGAAAACCCCTTCGTCGTCTCCATGTTCTGCTCCTTCGAAACCCGGCGGCACCTCTGCATGGTCATGGAGTACGTAGAAGGTGAGGATGGAAAGATGGAGATCTGTATTCTGCAGGCGTGCAGAGGTCAAAATGAAATAGTAGTAATAATACTCTTTCCATCCACACACATAGAATGTTCTTTGCAGATAGTCACATAATTTCTCATCCACATTTCTCTTTTTTTGATCATTTATGATCACACGTTAAACACAGGCTAAAATGCTTGGTTGTATCAAGGTGGCAAGAAAAAGGGCAATGGTGGACACAGCTAGCCAAAAATGTTAGCTTCACTAAACTCTAAACCACAATAAAATTGACTTAGTCCTGCTAATGATAATAAGCTAAACAGAAAAAATAAATTGGCAGAAGCTAATGCTATTAAACATAATGTCCAGTCCACCATATGTCAGCAAGAAGGTTTTAGGTTTTATCTCTGAATACATACCCGTCTAATGTTTCGTTCCCCTCCTTCATCCTGTCTCACAGCTTTCACTCACATTTTACAGTCAGTACCTAAAACTTCAACACATATCAAACCAAACCTGTATGTGTAATGCGACAAACGTAAGTCGACACAACTCAAAATGCAACCGATGAAAGCATTCATGTCCCATTTACAGGTGAGGCTTGAGGAAATAATTTGTTTCAGTAAAGCCAGGAGGCGGAGCTACAAACCTGCAGGTCAGGCAAGAAAACCAGAGGGAGAGAGAGGGGAAAAAGGAAGTGGCTGTGCCTCATTGGCCACACCCTACCTGGGCCGTAGACCTGTTGTGTCGGCTGCACTGATGGCTGTGAAATGAGACGGTCTAGTCTACGGAAGACATATGATTGTGTGAACACACGCTTCCTTGTTACCAAAATGAAACGTTTCATACCACATGCCTTTAGTTGTTTTTTACTAAGCCCGCGAGGGGACACGGAGGGATTTTTTTTTCCTTTTGTGTYCCCATGCACTACCTTTGTATTCCCTCGCAATACTTTTGCGTTCCCTCGCAATACTTTTGCTTGCGTTCCCACGCAAAAGATTGTTTTGTATATGAACCGAATTAAATCAGACTTTTATTTTGAAATATCCGGTTACCAAAACAGGATGTGTCGCCACAAGTTTGTGAAAATGACATTGATGTTGCGTGGCTGTACTGTGTTAAAATATTGGCATATGACATACTTCCATGCGTGGCTGTGTGATGTATTCATTCTGAAGCTGAATTAAAGCAGTAGGCTAACTCGCTAATGGTGAACATGTGAGTTTGCTAATAAACCGGCAGGCACAACAGTGATAAACTACTTTTGCAAGGGAACGCAAAAGGTATTGCGAGGTAACACAAAAGTATTGCGAGGCAACGCAATACTATTGCGTGGGAACGCAAAAGAAAAAAAATCTCCCATGTCCCCTCGCGGGCTCTGTAGTTTTTCCATGGTATAACGTCACAAAATTCAGTATTATTATAATAACGTTACTGGTAAATAAATAAAAAGCATTAATAATCTGGGTTTAGTGCCAGTATCAGTACCTGTAACTGCATTTTATTCAAAAAGAAAAAATAAGTAGGTCCTCTGGATGGGTTCTTCTTTAGTAAAACATTCCGTCTCTCCTCCAAGAGACTTCTTCAGTCTATGAGTTTCAGGTGAACTCAGCCTTATAAGCACTGCATTTTATTCAACATCTCATTGCATCAAAAAAATTCATCAGCTAAACTGCTAAACTTAAAATTCTTTGGTCTGTGCTATATTTCCATGCTCTGCCATAAAAAACAGCTGTAAAAGTGAATAACAAAATAAACCCTCCATTGTCTTTGTTTGCTTGTTTAATTTGCTGATGGTGCTGAAGAAATTATTGGGGTTTACATTATATACTGATTTTAATTACACTACACATGGTATAGTTTTATGATAGAACTGTAATAATAGTTGAATGTGATTGTTTTGCTCAACTTGATTTTACATTGATAGATACTGTACATGCCTGATAACAAAATTCAACACATAACTGAACATTTATTTCTTCATTAGAAAAGATTATTATTGTCTGAGGGCTGTGGCTCCGAAGTATAGGGACTCCCCATGCTAATGATGTAATCAAATAGGTGGAGCCAGGCCCCGGAGCTTTTGATAAAACTGATAGTACTTCCCTTTTGCGGCCTGATCTCTTGGGCACTCGAATAAACCAGACATCAGCAAAGAGTGCTCTTTGGTTTTGTACGGCTACTCTTTAATAATCCTTCCCATGCTATTGCTCATTCTCCATAAGCTTAAGCACACAGCTGGTAAACGAACACAAATACATAACTACGTTTTCTTTCAGCACAATGAATTCTGATATACAGTTGGCAGCGTAGGATACTCAGATGCAGCCTACATTTTCAGGGTCTTGTTGGCCACGTGAGTACGTGCCTACAAATTGGAACAGCCTACGGTACGGGGCAGTAACGTAAGCAACCGACAAATGCACCTTACATCGGATGCAACCCCTGAATTGAGACACAACCTGTGACAAATTACAGCCTTTGAAATAGTGTTTCAGTTATTTTGGTTCTTATATTTAAAAATTGAARAACAAATATTTGTAGACTAAGCAAAGATGTGTGTCTTTGTTTCACTATTTTGTTTAGCAAAAAACTCAGGAAATCATCGCTGTGACTGAATGACATCCAAGCTGAATTAATTGTTGTGACATTGTACAATGTTTTGAGTGTGGACTTATGTGAATTTTTTGTTTGTTTGTTTATTTGTTTGGTTTTTTGACAGATTCTTGTTCAGCTGTTGTTTAGAATTTATGTTTAAATCTATGTTATTGGTTGTAAACAGTGATTACTGGTGATTGGCAAATGAAGCTTTGCTGAAGCACTGAAGCTTGCTTTGAAAAATGGTTCATTACTCAAACTTTTACAACACAGTCTTCTTTGGTGCAATTGTGTGGTCAGAAGTGTGAAGAGCAGCACAAAATGAACTCATCATGTGAGAGTTGTCTGCTGATTAACATCATGAGACATTTTCTGCTGCTTTGAACAGATTTCTTTTTGTGGGTGAAAGAATAAAGTGATGGTTATGTGCCATGGCATGATGTCACTGTGACTACTTCACATTTGTAAACAGATTATTTAAAAAAAATCAGAAATCAAAAACAACACAGTCTGAAACGGTGCTTGTGCTGCCAGTTCTCTGCCTCCATAACTTAATGTTTTCAACCAGTTTGTTTACTCTAAAAGCTTATTGTATTTTAGAAAGTGTCATTGATCACTAGGGATGTCCCRATCCAGATTTTTTGGCTCCCGATACAATCTGATTTTTTTAATGATTACTCTTTCTGATCCAATACCGATCTGATAGCTTTATTTCTTTATTTCTTTCCAAGTGACAAGGTCGGTAGTATTAAAGCGAGCCCTGCTGTTCCCACCATGAGAAACATCCAGTTTGCAGAGTTTGCAAGATGTAGTTTCAGCATCATTGTTTTCCATTGAAAAGTGTTCCCACACTGTGGACATGGTTGCATACTTGTGTGCGTCTTGACTTCTTAACAGCAGTTGTAAAGCATGATGATGCTGAAAATTGTTGCGAAAACTGGATCGGCCAGATCACATGACTAAATCCGATTCTGCCCGATTTTCAAAGAATGGCCATATCTGCCACCAATACCGATACTGGGTATCTGCTCGGGACATTCCTATTGATCACATGTCTTTTACCAAACAAATAATCTCTGACACAGTGCTTCTGAATTCTGAAAGTATGTTGTTTTTAATCGATACATGCGCCAAAGCTCCAGCTTCAAACTGCCCATCTCTACTTTGCATTGCTTTCTGCTCACAGTGCAGCATTGTTAAAAGCATGTCACATGTAAAAGTCAATACTTTGGGGTTTACTGTAATAAGAATGTGATATCCTAAGATTATTAGCATCAAAGAAGATAACCTATATTATTTTAACAGGTATGAAGTCCATTAATAATTTCTAAAGTTAATATCAATGCTAAACCGCTCAACACAAACTTAGTTTTGCTATTAGCGGGTTAGTGGATGAGTGGGACTGTCTCCATCACTGGAAGAGTGTGTGTAGTAAAGGAAGTATTTGTACATGAAGTGTATTGAAAGTAAAAATGTACCAGTCATGTACAGCTGTAATAAATGGCAGCTACAGTATTTTTGKGAGTTAGGTTATTCTGAGTGTGTGGGAAAGGAAAGCAAAGGAGAAAACACGATGTTTATGTATATAAGAATAAATAAGGAGAATCTTTTTACACAGAGAATATCACAGGGTATCAAGGAAGATTTGTGTTTTTAAAGGAGCTATGGTCAGACACAGGGAAAAGCTGGTATTGAAGAAGTGTGATTATCATAAAGATGAGAGGGATGACACAGCAGGTGCAGGGAAAAAAATCAAGAAAGTAGATTTCCTCTCTTCTCTTCTTGGCAGAACTTATAGAGTGCATTTACAGTAAATTAGTTGGTTTCCTGGCATGGACTTGGCTTTTAAGCAGAATCCACCAATTTTGAGCTTGGATGAGGTCGGGGCTTTGGGAAGGCTTTCAAAAACCCAATTTATTGAGTAAAAACCAGTTCTGGCGGGTGTTTATGGTCATTGTCCTGTTGGAACACTCAACTGTCTCTGTGTTGAGGTTAAAGTTGAAGGATTTGGAACTTTGTTTTATTATTGCATCAATTTTGTGTAATACATGAGCCCCACAAGCATGATACTGCTACCACCATGCTGGGCAGGTGGTTCAGTGGTCCTAGGGTAGACTGCTGTTACTGTCATCAAATAGCTCTTTGTCTTGTCTGACCATAAACATTTCTCCAGAAGCCATTTGTTTCACCCATGTGGGCAGCAGCAGATTTTAGTCTGGCTTAAAGGCRTGTAGTGGAGCAGAAACTTCTTTCTTGGTCAGTTCCTGCACTTTTCATTCATGTCTGAGCTTCTGTGGTTCCTGAGTGTTCCTTGGCATCATAGGCTGTTCATGTTGTGAAAAAGATAGAAATCAGCTTGCATTTATTCCAAAGCTGTTGGAATGTTGCAACAGTAAATATCATGCTGTATATTTGATTTGATAGTCAGAGGGGCTGTAGGCCTATAAAGGCCTTGTTCTAAATTAAAAAAAATGTGTTTTTAAAGTAATTTTGTAACTTGGTATTAGTACTTGGTATAAGTACTAGGTAACAGTGAGAGCCCAAACTGAAGTACTCATACTTGGTTTGAGAAAGACTGGTATTGGGACACCCCTAGTTTCAATATTAGACATGTGACATTCACAAACGATTCAAATATTTTGAACAGACTCTTATGATTGGAACCAAATTTCAGACAGTAAAGAGCCATTCCTAGTTTTTTATTCCTTATAATTTTTCCTCCTTAACCACAGAGACAATTGCTCCTCCTTTGCTTTTTCACAGAAAGCAGACAAAGGGGGGAGGGAGTACAGCAGCTCAGGAAGGGGTCTACTTGACAAAACACATGATACTGCCCACATATCATCGTGTTTGGTGTATGTGATGACGTACTGTATGTCCCTACATGAAAATATAACTCTTTCAAAATCAAACAGATTTATTCTCTATGAAACAAATGTCTCATCAAGATCAGATTACCTTCAAACAGCCATTCGTCCCATAAATATAATATAGTAATGGTAATATAGTTTTTAGGCTCAAGAATACAAATAAATTTGAGTTTGGGTTATTTTCTGGCAGATTTCTTCAGTCATGCTGCAAACATGACATCAGATCCACCATTACCAGGTGGTGATAAAAGTGCCAGAGTGATTGTGACCTTTACACGGACAACTCACGTCATAATTGTCTATTTCAGGCCTTGTTGAGTAATGATTAGTAGTGATTATAGTCTGATTGTCTGGTAATGTCACTGATTGTTCTGCACAGGCTGACTCAAAGAACCATTGTCAGAATTAACAGAATTRTTGCACATTTTCCTAAAAGGAAAGTGAAATAATCACTGGGGGACATTTGTTGTAACTCAGAGCATCAGCGGGGTCTCTGATCCAGCGTCTTCTCTCCTCAGGTGGTGACTGTGCTACTCTGTTGAAGAACATCGGGGCTCTGCCTGTGGAAATGGCACGCATGTACTTCGCAGAAACAGTCCTAGCACTCGAGTACTTACACAACTACGGCATTGTGCACCGAGACCTCAAACCCGACAAGTAGGTGTCCTCCTTCAAAGTGTTTCAGGGATGATGCAACCTCTGTATCAAAAAAAAAAAAAAAAAAGAAAGAAAAACCTTAAATAGGTTGCTCTGTTTCTATTCTCAGCCTCCTGATAACCTCGATGGGCCACATCAAGCTGACTGACTTTGGTCTGTCTAAGATAGGACTAATGAGCCTGACCACCAACTTGTATGAAGGACACATTGAGAAGGACACGCGGGAGTTTTTAGACAAACAGGTATGACTGAGTCATTATTACAAAACAAAACAAAAATGCCCTACAAGGTCAGGAAACATTTTTTTTTTTGGAGCTATTTAAATATCTCCAATAAAAATGGAGATTTTAAAGGTCCGTGATGAGAATTTTTAAAATTCAAAACCTAAAAGAATTATCATTAAGGGCACTTATGCATGAACAATGAATCATCCTTTACTACTATGAGGCTATCTTTCTGTTTTCATCACGACTGATGATTTGCTACAACCTGTAGTGACTGCCTGTTTTTGAATCTTATTTTTTATTCTGCAGTTCTGTCTGCCTTATTAAGACAAATACTTGTGTGTGATTACCATTGTGATCCAACCAAGCCACTGGCAGGATGTTTCCTGTTTCTTTTTATTTTGGTTCT